TCGGCACGCAATGGCAAAAATATTCAAATTTCTTTTCATGTACGTAATTCGAAATAAGCGCACCCTCTTTTTTTTCTATATCGCATTACATAAATAGTTGCCTTTTGGGTTGCCTGCGCTTGACCACGTATTTCGTTCAATATTTTATGTGTCTAGCCTTTTATGTGACCCCACCCGGGTACGTTCTATGGCACGCGCTGTCCAGTTAGTTTAGTGCGTACTTCTCAACTCAGAATATTACCTTCGTTTTCTTATGGCCAACCCATATCTGTACCTTTGGGTTATTCTATCCTTTGGAGGAATTGTCATACAAGTTATACAACTTGTAGCTACATCATGTAAATTTTGTAAGGCTATAGGTGTGTGTGGCCGTGCGTGTGTGTGTGCCGGACAGCGTGTGTGTCTTTGTCGATCTGCACGTGTCTTGAACCGCTTGCAAGCTACACAGTCTCAAATTGTATACTTACGCTAAGCGTCTTGCTGTCGGGGATATGCTTACGGGAAGCTGTATGTCCTGCCCACTGCCACATTTGGTATTCTGCGTGTTGTGTTATGCTGTCATGCAACGTCTACAACAGGTTTGATACAAACGCAAATACATACATACGTACATAAAATAGGAATAAATATGTCATTCCTTCTTTATCAAGAATTAACTTTGACAAAAAACTTTGTATTTTCCCTTAACTTGGTAAATAAAGTCAGCGCACAACAAATCCCTTGGGTATGTGTGAAAATTTGCTGAAAAGGTGTTGCATAAATTTTCTTCGTTTTTTTTTCCTAATATATTTAGACACATAATGGTCAATTTTGTAAATTGGCGAGGAAATTGGTTTCATTTTATGGTCAGTGGCATCCTCACAGCCATGCCACAGAAGGGCATATAGCTTCCTTTCGCACCGCTATTTATTAGAAATATTTAAATGCAGCATATCTTTTAGTTACATACCAAATGTGTAAAGAAGACTAAGGGTGATTGCTATCCCGAAGGTCGGACAGAAGAACCTACTTCATCTAAAATCGTTCATTTGTATTTTAAATACAAAAAAAAGGTGTAAAATATTAAACAAAGACTACTAAGCTCGCATACAGAACAGACCTCTCAACTGAGATTGCTCTCTAACAGCTGACAAGAGTTTTGTAGGCTTGACTGAAAAATATGAAAACAAATTTAACTGGCTTCCTGGATATTTAGTTACAAACATAGAAGTTGGGTGTCTATTAACGGCCCATGTAAACCTGGAAGGTGGAATGTCAACTGTCAGTCGGGGAAGAATATCTGTTTAGAAGAAATAGAAATAACTCCATGATAAATATAGCTTGGAATTTCTACCCGAAAGTACTGAAACGCGTCTTTGCGGCGATCGTACGACACGGGATAACCACTGTAGCTATCGTCTTGGCAGCCGAAACAAATCTGCAAGGAGCCATTAGAGCATTCATTAAGCTGCAGAGGTTAGCTCTCGTGTAAAAATCTGAAGCTATGATAACCGAATTCAAATTAAAAAAATGTCTTGAGAATCTGATTGTGAACCTCAGTTCCAGCATCTGTCCAAGTGATGCAAATTTGTAAGTATCCTCAACTATGATAAAAGGTAACTAAATAGGCTTGTCATGAAAGAGCTCAGAAATACCTGACACCGGGGACAGCCTGGTAAAACTGTCCTCCTTTGACTTTTATATTATGAACGCGCCCGATAGGGCAATAACTAAAGCATTTTTGAGTAAGGATTAGGATGTACCTGCTCTTCCGTTTGTCGAATGCGACATTCGATCAGTGTGATTCATTACCAGTTAATATTTCATTCTCCTCTGTTCTGCTAAAATGTCCGACTTTGAGGTTTATTCGATGCTCGTGATTTACAGAGTGCAGTTTTGGATGAATTTACTCCCAACTAAAACTGGTCTGGCACTGAACGGTGACAGGTAATAAGGTCAATGGAAATAAGGTCAATTGACTTTATTTCCCACCCTGGTGCGAAATAAAGTCAATTGACATTATTACCTTTTCAAAAGCGAAATAAAGTCAACAAAAATTTGGAAATAAAGTCATTGACGCTATTTCCTCATTCAAATGGAAATAGCGTCAACAATGCTTAAAGTATGTCGATTCATAGAAAAAAATGTTGTTCTTACAATAAACATTGCCCCGTAAGTGTTGTGTTTTAATAGAAAAAAAAAGGCTTTTGCCAAATCCTCAGTGTTGTGATATTAATCCACACATAATCATGAACTACCACCAATTGATTCTATTAAAAAAAATTTAAATTACGAATATGTAAAAACACGATGCGAAAAACTAAACGCCTGCGCACAGCTGGAATATGAGAAATATTTGAAGAAAGAGTGGAGAAATGATCCATAACTTGCAAAACATTTTTCGTTGCTACAAAAATAAAGCGAACACTATTAAATTGAAGAAACAGCACATATCCAAAAACCCCGGAGGAGCACTGAAAGAATTCTGTGTTTTAAATTAGCATATTTTGAACGAATTCGGAATGTCTAAGGTGGAAAAGAACTTAACTTTTCTATAAGGAAACAATTATAGAAAAAGAATTTTCTTACACTGTATTTATGCCTCCGCCAGCAGTCATTTAAAAGCAGCTAAGGAGAACGACAACACTACTTATTAGATGGCACATTCAACGAGCCAATGTGCCAAAATGCGGGTATAAACAATTATTGATTATTTAATATCGGAACCGAGATCATATAAGTTAATTGATTGGTTTTCACACACTTTTGAAACACAAATTATATGCTTTTTTACTGCAGACAAGTTGTTGCCTCAAAACACAGCAGAAATCTTCCAATCAGGGCTGCCAACTCTCCTTAGTTTTGAGGTGCCATATTGTGGATAAAAAAAGTGCCAAAATGTGCCAAATAGAAAAATAAAAGTGCCAAAAAAGGTGTAATTCCTTTTAATCATTCACATTTAGCAATAAAATAAAGCCACACTTTCAAAACAAAAGTGCAATGATAAAATAAGATAACCCAGTTGAAAATCCTTTATAAATTAGAAAATTTTAGTTGAGAAAAAGAAGTGCACGCAAAGGAAGAAATGTTATTTTGTTTACAAAAGTGCCATTTTGGCATTTTGTGCCAAATTGAAAAATTAAGTGCCATTTGAAGTAAAATAGGAACAAATTGCACGGTTTCAGCCAAGTTGGCATCCCTGCTTCCAATAACTTACAAATATAAAAATGTGAAATATCGAGGGCTTGAATTCATTAATACCCTCTATCTGCAATTTGCACAAAAACTAATTTGTGATTTTAGAAACCATCTGGGACTTATTACCTGTCGTTATATAAGGTAACATTAATATCACTGATGACAGTTAAAGCTTAGGTGGATTTTTATATCAGAATCTCATCTTTGTGAAAAGTGTGCAGATAGAGGGTATTATTGAATATAAGCCCTCGATGTTTAAAATATATAAAAATTTTATTTCAACGTATACAAAAAATAAATCTACCTGCGTTACAGCACGTCGGGAGACGGAGAAGGGGGGGCCGGGGGGGCCGGGGGGGCCGCGGCGTAGCGTGACGTGGTGTGCGCGCCGGTCGTGCTGGGTACGCGGGCCGCCGCGAAGCTAAGCAAATTTAATGTTTGAAAGAGAAATAATGTCAATTGATTTTATTTCGTTTTTAAAAAGGTAATAATGTCAATTGACTTTATTTCGCACCAGGGTGGGAAATAAAGTCAATTGACCTTATTTCCGTTGATCTTATTCCCTTTCACCGCACTGAACATATATTCTCATTAGACACTGCCCCAACCCTTGCGATGTCTTCACGATTTTGAGATAACCACCGGATCAATAAGGTAAAAAGAGGACACAATTAATTAAAATAAGCACAAAACATTTAATCAAATAATTAGAAAATAAACATTCAATAACTTTGTGGGGCATAGGTTGGCGCGGTCACTCTAACAGCAAGAAGGTAGTCTTATGCATATCGTCGTTTAAAGTACAAAACCGCGTTTCGTCATTCTGCAAAACCGCGTAACTGACATTGGCTGCAAAAAATTGGGTTTTCTGACACAAGCTCTTCGCTCAATCCTTATCCATTCGTACTTAAATATACTATCCAGAAATGCGATTGCTTTATAAAAAATAGAACCATTTTGAAATATCAGTGTTTTTACGCTCTAGAAAATAATTTCTACAAGTTCACATACGCGGTTTTGCATTTTGCTGATACGCGGTATTGCATTTTGTTGCACTTTAAACGACGATATGTATCTTGGTCTTTAATTTTAAAGCACTATCACGTTCTTAATGCCGCCAGCTATGATTCTTCGCTCGTTATTTGCTCTGATTACTCAAATGAATGCCAATTTCTCTGTCACTCGCAAACAGCAAAACTTTGCAGACTTCGGAAACTTCTGCAAGAAATTTTTTGATTTATTTGCTAGTTCTGTCTACGCAGCAAACCAATAAAGTTTTAAAATTATTTATTTATTTTCTTTTCAACAGTAACCCCCCTACAGGCTAATTTAAATAACTGCATTAACACGAGTAGGACATAACATTTCTGCATTAGCCATTTAAAAACGGTAAAAGTTATAAAGTACACTTAACTCAGCATTTGTTAACGTCAATATTAATTCAATGTCACTGCATACTTAGTTTCTATTCGATGTAAGCCACTTGCTTGAGAGCAAGCACTTTGAAGTGCGGCAATAAATTGCGTATACGTCAGCGCAACCTATTCTATTACTCGAATGCTAAATTGCCAAGCGTGGCAGAGAATAAAGTATGCATTTTACGCGATCAAGCACGCTTGTCAATATGCGTTACTTCCCTGACAATGCTGACAAACAGTCGGAATAAGTGAATTCAATTTGAGAATTGTAAGCAAAAGAAGCTCAAACAAAATTTTCTACAGCCAGCAGGACGGGGAATTCAGCAACGCTGCACAAAATGTCATTGTTGTTTTTGTATACATACATATGTATGTAAATATGAATAAAATAATTTTCCCACTTACCTCGAATGTCATCAGCTGAGTTGGATTGAGTAAAATGTTGGGATTTAGAAAGAAGCGTGGATTAATGGCACGAGCGGAGCTTTTGTTGGTGGTTGTATTGAAACGATTCATGGCCCTGGCCAATTCATAACGAATAAATGCGGTGCGATCTGCGAAGATATTAAGTAATTTATTTTTGTAGAATTTCTAATAAAGAATTATTATTTCAAGGATTTGCTCTCTATTAGTTGCAATGGATTGGCTTATATAATACGCTGAAACCTACTTATGCTGTTATTTTCGTCTTAACGGTGCACTATTGGTTATTTTTATGAGTTGTTGTTGGAAGGTGACTTATTTTAACTTTTCAGCAGAAAAATTTAGAAATTTAGACCTATCCGATTTTGAATTGAAATTAATAATTTGCTAACAAACAAATCGTGGTACGAAGCTCAATAACACTATGGAAATGAAATTAATAAAATTTGGCAATATTTTTTCAAAATAATGAATAAAAAAATCTGCATTTAAACTTTTTCAATAAAAATACAAATTTGAAAATGACCCCTTTAGGCCTATCGGTCGTCAAGGGTTAATTTTTTTTTTTTTTTTTTGTTGAAACAGAAGGTAGATCATGAAAAATATATTTTTTAAATGAGGTACTTGTTTGTTCAAAATTAATTTTTGTCACAGGAGTGGGTGAGAGCGATGCTGTTTAAGTATTTAAATTATATATTTTTATTTATTATATTATAATCTCTGTACGTTTTCTAAAATATTCCAATTTGGTGATATTAAAATTTGCAAAGGCGTACACAACCACTCATTTTCCTGATTCGTAAATTCGTAAATTCGTAAAAAAAATACCCATATCCGAAGTCAATTCTCACAATTTCCTTTACAAGCAAAAAGGTTCAAAGTTAAAGTTACATTTTTGAAGAAAACAAACCATCCTGATCATTTGGCTACCCGTTAAAAAAAATTAAATCAGAGCGAGGTTAACGATTCGTCGCCAAACAATAGAAATAAACAACTGTGTATACGCAAGAAAAACTTAAACAAAAGCAGACGTCAAATCCATGTGCAATTCACTAAAGTGCTCTTAAGCGCTTAACATTTCAAATTTATTGCATGGACATATTTTTTCTTATTTCCACACTTGCACTTTTATGTCTCTGTTTACATCAATAAGTGGTAAACATCTATTGATATTTGTAAGTAGTATGTACAATGATTTCACTTTATGAACTCATAAATATGTGCAAGCGCACTTAGGTGAATTCTAAGCCACGTTTTGCTTACAAGTATTTGTGACATAGCACATCCACACGTAACCGGTTCGGTAGTCAACTACGTAAATAAAACACTTCCCAGCCAGAACAGTACCATACGATTGATGGGATTTAAGACCGACACTTCTGACAGAATGTGATATTATTCCTCAGAAGATCGATGTAGTCATTTTTATTAGGACCACAGGCAAAAAATTTGCATCATCTGTTACTCTCCTTAATGCATGTGATTTCCTATCGCTCCCGCTCTCATGATTTCACAGAAACTTGTGAGAATGTATTAGTAAAGAATATATTTTTTTCGCCGATTGTTGTATTTTTAGTCTGCCTCGTCTTGCTGGGTTCTAATTAACTACATATGATAAGCTAAGTTCAATGTATTTCAAAGCGCAGGCAAAATCCACAGTAAATCTTTTGTTTTTGACATAAGTATTTTCTTGTCTCAGTTTAAGAAGCATTTATTTGTTGTGTTTTATTTTTGGCAATTGCAAGTTTGTTTTACATATTTAAGCTAACTTTAAGTTAGACGAAAAGATAGCTGAGCTGCCTAAACCCGGCGAAGAAAAATCGTGTGTGGTTTTTCCCTGGTGAATAGCGATCAAAAAACTACTCGTAAAAAATTTATCTTTTTTAAATAGTTTTACAGGAATAATCGATCGATATATACATATATGCTTCCTTTGAAACAAGTTTAAAAATTTTTGGTGAGTTTTACTTTACTGACATTAGGGTGGTACGTCAGAGTGATAACATCTGAGGTCTGGCGAGTGAATACTAGAACGGGGTATTTCAGCTCAATGAACTTTGGAACGAAAAAATTATATTCTCCAGAAAAGAACACCGATACTTTATACTTTAAGATCCGACTGTAAATGCCAAAGATATTTAAGAAAATTTAATATGGCGGTCCCTACGTTTGGAAAAAAAAATTAAAATCTTGTTTCGAAATTTCCTTGCAAAAACACTTAAGATTCGAAAGATTGATGTAACATATTTACTCAAGAACCAGTAGACCAATTTTGATGAAATTTACAAAGTTTGTCAAAACGTATATGGATCGTGTTTAAGTTATGTTTGTTTGAAAAAATAACAGCAAATAGAACTTCCACATAACAATGAAAGGTCCACGTTTAAAAAACCCAACAACAAATCGAAATGAAGAGTTGCCACCTATTTGAAAAATTTCGATTAATCAAATTAATACAAGAATCAAATAAAATGTATTACAATTTGGATATGGAATTAATGAGGTTTAAAAATGCTTAATGGAAAATATTTTGGGATGGGGGATTTAAAAAAAAATTTTATTTCGATTAATTTTAGCAGATAAATAACATACAAGTTTATAACAAGAGAGGCTTAAGAAAGCTTGATTCCCAATAAAACTTTGAAGAGTGTTGCCATCTGCTTGATAAATTAAGTGTTTAATACGGCTGTCAAAGTAAGGTTGTTTCATAAAGCTTAGTTTGGAAAATATTTTTAAAGAGCATTGTCACCTGAGTGAAAAATTTGATTCAATTAAATTGGTAAGATAAACGAAATATTACAATTTTAGTATCAAATTACGTTAATTAAAAAATCTTTGATTTAAAAAGAGTTTTAATTAGAATTGATATTAATTTTTATATTGAGGGTTTGAGTAGTAGAGTAAAAATAACGAATTTTGAAAACACCTACTAATACTACTTAATAAAATGAGCTACCTTAGATGAACCCACACTGAAAATTAACGTAAAGTGAAAAGATTTACAACTAAAAAAAAAAAACATATACATATGTATGCACGTTCACCTCTGATATTCATACATAAATATTTTCATTTTAGTATTAGACTGAGCCACAGCAAGGCGTGGCCGGGTAACTCTAGTACAAATAAACGAACCAACCTTGTAAGGCTACAGATTTTCTGCTGAACTATACGCTAACTTTTTGACTCATGCTTATCTTTCTATAAATGTAAAAATTCGTGTATATAAATATTTTAATGACTACGCAAACGTGCTGAAATATGTAGCAATTTGCTTGTGTAATGATGCCAAGAGTAGACTTTAATAAAAATATAAACTTTTGAGAGCAAACAAAAATGAAAATGAACCACAAAAAAAACATTCAACAAATTCGCGAATACATATATATGTATTTGTGGCTGTTTTTTGTTTTTGTTATTGTTGTTGCTGTTGGTGACAAAACAAGTGAAAACAGCAATAAACATGCGTGGCAAAAATAATAGTTGCACTTTACCACACTTGGCTCACATGATGACAACAACGTGACGACCACAACGACACAAGTGACAAATGACACTATAACTGCAACAACCACGTACACGGTTTGCACTTGCATATGTGTGTACATTAGGGTGATTCAAAAAGTAAAGTCGGAATTTTAATGCTCTCACCCCCTAGGAATGCTAAAAGCGCTCAAACTTTTCAATTTTTGTACACATTTTATTTGGGGAAAAAAAAAATTTTTTGATTTCGAAATATATAACGAAATATATACACCTGATCCTTCGATATAGAATAATCCTAGGGGTGATAGCAATAAAATTCGGACCTTGCTTTTTTGTACGTGGATTTTTGGACCACCCTAGTGTGCATTCAACTATATAAAATATTATATTATTAAGGTTTACTTTAGCTGGGCCCATTTGAAAATACCTCGAAAAATCGATTTTTTATAAATAAATTTAGTTCTTTAATATAATTAGTCTAAAAAATGTCCATCAGAAATATGAAATTTATTATATTTAAAAACGTCCGCCAATATATTTTGAAAAAAATATTAAGATTTACGTTAGCTAGACCCATTTGAAAATACCTCCAAAAATCGAAGTTTGTTTTATACATAAATTAGGATTTTTTATTATAATTATTCCAAAAAATTACCTCAGCTTATAGTATAGCTTAAGCTTAAAAGGACTGCATACCATTTTTTTTTTTTTAAATTTCATCAGATTTTCGGAGATATCTCCAAAAGGGTCTAGCTCACGTAAATCGTAATATTTTTCCAAAATATTTTGGCGGAAGTCTTAAAGTTTTATAATAGCGGTGGAAAACCGCTACTTATTTTGGCGATGCACTCTAATGTACATATGAAAGTATGTATGTAAGTAAGTCAATGTGTGAGGCGTGTCACTTTGCACTGACGGCAGTGACATAAAATGTGAAGATGTGCTGTGCCGCTACTGCAAAAGATTGCACTTGAATGTTGCAACAAGAGCAATAACAACAACAAACATGTAAGCCAAGTGTGACAGTGGAAAAATTTGAGCGAAAGTAAACGAGCGTCTCAGCAAAAATAACGCCGTTAGCGCATGTAGTGTGTGGGTGTGGGTGTGGGTGTGTGCGGCGTGGCAAAAGCCATCAAAACAACAGCGAAAGTTGATGGTAAGCGCGCGAAATTTATTTTTGTTTGCTGAAGTGATTGAGTCGAAATGTGCTCAAGCACATGGATGGCAGCTTGAAAAAAGCAACTTTGCCGCTGATGGCATCCTTACCAGCGCCATTTTGATGCAGCCAGCAACACACGCAGTGCGATCTTAAGTGTGGCAGCTATAACGGCTTGATGCGACAATTTCGTTTTCACTAATGACTTTAACATTGACGAGAAAATTCTTGAGCAAAGCGGCAATGTATAATTTTAGTTTCAGCTCAAGACGTTTTGATGTGCGCGTGAAAGTTCGCTTTTTTGAACTTAAAAGGAAACGAACTTACATAAGTGATTTAAGACCATGAGCGGAAGTGTAATGCTTTCAGCGTACTACTCGTACAAAGTTCTAATGCAGCAATATTTTGTGCACGCAGTTGCATCGCCAAAGAAGAAGAAGAAGAAGTTGCATCGCAAGCTGAATTTAATTGTTTGTGTGCCGTACTTATGCATATTCATTTTAAGCGATTTTTTTCAGTTTTAAAGGAATTTGCACTTCCACTACAACCATTGAACTATAACAGTGACTAAAACAAACGACCACGTGTTGATTTTCTTCAAATATTCGTAATGTTTTTCGAGCAAATTTTTTTTTGTTATTTTTTTATAAAAATATAGTTTTTAAGCATTAACCAAAACAAAATTTAGGAAAATTCAACAAATTTTCATCAAAATTTCAACTTTTTATTCC